TTTTATAAATACAGCTGAACCACAGGACTATTACTCCAAAGAGAGAAAGTTTCTGTGGAACAGCAGGATTCCAGTGGCCCCTTTTGACTGAAAAAATTGAAACCAGTGAATTAATGGAAAATCAGTGAAGTGCTGTGCCTTTCTTTCAGTACTGCTATTGGGAATCTGGGAGAAGTATGGATTCAAATCCATGAACTACTGTCCTCCTGGAAAAGAATCTTGCCTGACGTATGGTACCTTTCACTAGAGTGAAAATCACCAAGCACTTTTTTACTATGTTTCCTAAGGAAAAGAATCAAAAGGTGTTTCCTCCAGTAAAGCAAATGTGCTTAGCAGGTACTCAACATTCAAATCTGAGCCAAAGAAGCCAGGACAAGAACAAAGTTATCTTGGTGCACCAGACACATCCACTGAATTTATTACTTTCTCTATTTTTATTAATAGATAGAAGTGTCTGGCTGGGGACAGGCAGGTGGGACAAAAATGTTTTGAAGAGAAATTTTTGCCAACACGTGTTCCATCTAGAACTTGTAGCAGAAGCTGCAGATAGGAATCCAACCTCCAAGGGCGACATATGGACTCTAATAAAGTCATGCCATTCATTAATAGCCTTCCCAAAGGCAGAAAATCATCCAAAACTTGAGTTTTTCATAAGGAGCAGTGAGAAGATGACAATAAAACCTTTCTCTTTATAGCCAGTAGAATTTATATCGGATTTTAAAAATGCAATAGTTCCCTCTGATGGCAGAACCGGGTAATTCTGCTTTGTAGGAGAACCAACACGTTGGAATCTCCTTCATGATTTCAAGCACAAGTCCTTAGCCGCTAAAAACAGAAAATTGTGTACTGGTATTTGAGCTTCTGGTTTTGTTTCTTTCCCCCCCACTAATGCTTCATTAGGATAATCGGTTAGGTGGTAGTTTTGCCTTATTCTCTCTAGGGGAAAGTTACCAGTCCCGTCAATATTGTCACCAGGGGCGTGATGCTCAGTCATGCTCTGCCTAGTTACAGTCTCTGATGAAAAGTGCCATTAAATAGCATGTGATGAATAGGGTGTATTTAGCTAGGAGCCCTTGTGTGGCTTGTGATACAGACAGAACATTCTCCTTAGGAGGCCTGTATTTACCTGTTTACCACCATTCCTGAGAAGTGTCTTGAAGCACAGGTTGGGGTAGCTGCAGTCCCACTGGAAAACCCATCCACAGGTTGTGTGATGGGGTGGGCTCCAGCTTTGCACCATGCGATGAGGTGACCTCACAGTGCACCTTGTACCCAGAGCCTTACCGCTGTCGTGTAACACTGAGGAGCAGGAGACAAGCAGAGCAGTGTGCTGGGAAAGTGGACCCTCTTCAGTTCTACCATGCATCTTCTGTATCAGCCAAAACGGTTGTTAACCCTCTTCACCATACCATCCCCGATTACTCTCTCATTCTCTCTGCTAGCGAGGTGCTTCTTACCTGGTTGCCGTCATATATGAAACCTTTCTTCAACTGCAGCAGTGCAAGTCTAGCCAGGATGGGAGACCTTTGTGGATTTCTGGAGAGTGCTAGCAAGAGGAGCTTGTGAGCTTCTTCTACACAGCCCATCTGGTACAGGGCATCAGCACAAAGGATCTGTGATGCTTCATCAGAGGTGTCCAGCTCCACCAAGAGAGAAGCCAGCTGGTAAACCCCAGGAGCATCTCTGGAGGAAAAAGGAAAGGAAAAATGCTAATGAGAGTAACAGAGCCTCTTTGTCTCACCTGGAAACTAAGAAGCAGGTTACCAGTCCAGTATCAAAATGGATGACACGTTTTGCCATATCCAGCACCACAAGTAGCTCTGCAACTTTATTCCATAATCATAATACCTCTTTATAAAAACATGTCCTTAAGCAGTTGTGGCTGTAAAGAAAGAGTAACAAATCATGATTCATATCTGTGGTTGCAGCTGATACCACAATGGGAAAAGGAAAAAGTAACGGTGATAGTGAAAAAGAAATAAAATTGCCATTTCTAATGAAAAGCTGTGTGTTAAAAATTGCACAGACTCAGAAGAGCCATGTTAATACGCTGCTTCTTGTTCCAGCAGCAGTGACCCGTGTCTAAGCGGCTTGTGTTTGTGCCCTGATCTGCCAGCGCAACACCGAATGAGTTAGCACATTTTTCTGTCCTTCAGTTCTACCACTGGAGTGCAGGCCTCAAGCACTGGGTGTGAAATGTGCATCGTGAAACTGAAGAAAAAGGCCATAATAGCACTAAATTAAGAGACTAAATAAATGTGGGTATCAGTTGCAAAAAGCAGCCACCTGAGATGAACTTTCCAATGCTATTTCACACGTCAAATTTTCAAGTTTTCCCTCGAAATATTTCACATGAGGAAAAACTGAGAAAGTAATATAAAAAATCAGTTTTGGAGAAAATGGAAGACTTTTCCTGGGATGGTATCAGACAATACTCTGAAAATGAAATACTGAAACTTTTACATTTAAATAGTAGCTTGTGTTGGGTTGGAAGAAATAAAAAAAACTAATACAGATACTACTTCGATAAGCAATATTTTCTGACCTTTAAAAAAATTCTTTTAAGTGTTAAAACTTCAGAGTCCCTCTGTTACACCTTGTTCTACCTTCAAACTCAGGTTTTAATAGATTTAGCTGGAATAGTTTGGTGTTACCGGCTCAAATCTCCCAGCCTTAAATACATTAATACAGTCAGTATTGAAAGAAGAATTTGGATTGCCAGCACCAAGTACGTGCACAGCAGCACCTCAGCTCTGTCTTGGAAGGACACTTTCTAGTGGCTTCGTACTTCATGGCCCACCAAACCCTTCTGTTCGGAGCTGAGAGAAAAAGGAACCACCCAGCACCAACAAATCTGTTTTATTACGGGTGTATCTACTCCTTTAGAGGAGAAATCTGTCATATTCCCTCCAGCACATTGCTTGCTCCTAGCTTAGGCCAATTGGTATATCAGGGTTTAAATTCCATAGAAAGACTGAGCTGATATGGCTATGTGGATCCTATTGCACTCTGACATACCAGCAAAACAATATTTTGCTGGAAGAGCCACACCTGTCCAGTTTTATTTCAACCTGTTATGTTAATTAGGAACTTTAAAAGGGTCTATATTCTATTCTCAGTTATCTGAAGAAAGTACTCGATCTGCACAGCCCTGTTTTTTTTCTGCCCACAAGCTAAACTGCCTCCTGGGTACCTCTTCTTCTGGAGCATCTTCTGTCCTTCTTCTTGGAGAACCTTTAGCAGCAGTCCTCTTTGGTTCCATGGCACGTAGGACTTGATTGTGAAGATGGTTTCTTCCAGCTTTAACTGGCAAGCTGTGATATAATCCAGGGCTGTCAAGTAATGGCTGCCACCAGAAATCCGGATAAGTCCACGCCCACATAAGGCTTTAATACAGCTGTTAGGATGCGGGGAATCATGCTCAATGACCTTTTGAAAGTCCTGCAGGGCTTGCTGATGGTCATGAGCGTGGAGGGAGCAGAATCCTCGCAACGCTAAGAGAGTGTTATAGTAAGTTTTCTGTTCTGCTGCCAAGAGGTGGTCACAGATATCCAGGGCAGCTCTGATGTGTCCGTGCAGGAGATGGCAGTCTGCTAGCCGAACACTGAGCTCACGTTTGGACCCTGGGGAGATCTGAAGGAGGAACTGGACTGTCTGGATGACAGAAGGGAGCAGTTCGGTACCATGATCGCCTCTGAGTTCAGTCCGAGTACGCACAGCCTCCCTGTATGCTGCAAACTTCACCTCCAGGACAGTCCTCGCCTGTTCTTCTATCCTCTCGGTGTCATGTGGTGAGAAAAGCTCTTCGAAGTGTTTCATTGCCTGGGCAGGGGTTGCTGCAAAGGCTTCTGTTAAGTCCTGTATCATTTCCTGCATCCGTCCACCCAAGAAGAAATATGCAGCAGCCCGTTCCAAGAGCAGACCCAAAGCTTCCTCATCTCTGAGATTATTATCAGCTGAGAAGCCCTTGAGGGCCTTGCTACAAACTGCCGCACACTCCTCAAATTTGCTTTTCTTAAAGAGGTAAGCTGCCTGCACCCTGCAAACCCAGATATCATCCGGCGCCACCGCAGAGAGGAAGTCATAGCAGTTGCCCAGCCACTGGTCCAAGGAACTGCAATCTGGGCTCTCTTTCTGATACGTTGACAGATAATTAGAGAAGGCCTGGATGACCTGTGGCAGGTGTTCCCTTTGCCTACTACACACATAGGCCACCGCCTCAGCCCGATGCATTAGAAAGGCTTGGATATAGTCCGCCACTCCCCTCCTGACTTGTGTCCCTGACAGCACCCATGCCAACGCCCTCAGCAGCAGAAGTTCCACTGAATGCTCTGGGTTAGCCTTGAGCAGGGTATTGCATTTACTCACCACCTCCTCCATGCATCCTCGCCTGAGCAGGGTCTCCAGTTTGTATACTGAGGATACCACATTGCTGGGACTTAGGGCGGAGAGAAAGACGGCAGCTATTCCCACGCTGAGGGAGACAACAGCCAAGTTCTTGCTCTGGATCTTGGGAATCTGACTCTTGCCTTTGCACCACGTCTGCAGGGTGGCTACCACTTGCTCCCGGAGCCCTCTGTCTAAGGAGTTCACGTTCTGCAGTGCTGTGGGGGCACTGCAGCTGAAGGCAGCTGTGTAGAAAGCAGTGGCAGTTGGTAGCTCCTGCTGGCGGAGATGGCGGTTCCCTTCCTTGCAGAGCAGTGCGGCAAGCTCCCGAGGTGACATTTTCTGCACTTGTATCTTCACCAAGCAGCAGCACATATGCAATGCGGCTAGCGCCTGTCAAACAGAAAATCAGTAACGTGAGGGGCTGTAGAGCACAGGGGTTCTTCTGCTCGGGGGGCAGCTTTCCAGCTGACAGACACAAGCCTAGGTCCCGTGAAAAGCCGTCGTTCTGTCACTGACAGGCTCACCGGGGGGCAGAGCCGCCAGACGAAAGAAACACGACAGCGGGT